TCTTTTTTTTTTAGAAAGGGGAAATGAAAGATAAAAGGAATAGCTCTATTGCTGCAAAGGTCATAAACTGAATTTAAACCAAAAAGCTTCCAATATAAAAGTTTCATCCAGATTTCTTTTTTTTTTAGATAGCATAAACTTTTTTGATAAGGAAACACCTAAATCATCATCTTTATTTTATACTTTATACTTGCTAATTAGATTATGTTGACTTTTTTTGCATTAAAAGTCAGGCTTTGTGCAGAAAATCATGCTTTGGTTGGTTAGCACAACCATTTTGTGGCTTTTCAGATTCTTTCTGAACACAAACGCTGTTGCATTTTATTAGAATACGAATGAAATTTTAATTTAAAAAAAGGTGAGAACAAAATACACAATATGTAAAAAAGGTATATACCTTTTTATAAGATCCCTACAACTATACAATTACCTGTATTTAATTCTAATAATCATTAAATTGAGTAAAGTGTGGGTACGCCTGTACTATGACCTTTAATCATTTATTTGTTTAAAACCACCTGTCAGCAATAAGTAATTCCTCTATGTATTAATTTGCCAAAATCATTTTGCTCCTCTCTACTGTCACTAAGCTTTTTGAATTTTGGCTATGCTGTTTCAAAACATATTTGAGAAAGCTGAAAACTTGCAATAATTTTGGCTTGGCCCATGTATCTACAGTACGTACAGTATATGTCTTTTTGGCCACTTGGCTTGCCCTCTGCCCCTCTTCACCTCTCTCCTCCTCCTCCTCTTTGCCCCTCCTCTTCCTCCATTTGATTCAGGAGGGTGTACTCTGCCTATATTTTTGCATGTTAATGAGGGGTGAAACGTGCCCTACTTGAGTTGTTCATGGAACACAACTACTACAGGGAATACATCATAGGCTAGATCTGCTAGGAGTTATCAGAAAGACGATCAGAAACATGGGGGGTTGAAGGCAGGCAGTGAGGAAAAGAATGAGTGTAGGAGGGAGGAAGGAAGCAGGAGACATTGACACAGGAGGGTGATGACACATGAAGATGGTCTAATGGGGGGGATGAGGATGGATGAGGAAAGAGCAGGTAGGAAGGAGCTCTGATGAGAAATCATCAAAAATGCCAGCTGTTGTGCCCAATTTCCACCTTCTGATTGTATTGTATATTTTGTATAGAGTTTATTGGGTTACAAACAATTATAAATTTCAATCTTTTCCCCACTTGTTCCTGATTTCCTACTCTGGGTTCACAAGAACACCATCAGCTGCAGGTCAGTGTCTGAGATGTAACAGGTTATTTGCAGATGAAGCTGCTTTGCATTTAAAAATAAAGCTTTTTAAGTCAAAAAGGGAAAAGTAATGCAGTAAGCAGAAACACACAAGGAGAGGAAATAAAGCAGTGAGAGAG